GTTATCATCATAAAACTGGAGATGCACAGGCAATATTAAGATCCCATCTGATATTAAGAACATCATAGAAACACTTGGAAATCAAAGGCTAGCAGGAGAATTCATGGGTATGCAGTGCAAGCTGCCTAGACAGGTCTATGCTACACTTAGTTACAGTCAAAAGAGCCGTATGGCTCAAGCTCTGGACAGCCCACCCGTGGTCTAGTTCAAATTGGTGCAAGATTCCTTTCAATGGGAAAATTATTTTTGGTAGCAAATTAGACAACGCCAATTTGAAAGTAAACAGAGGGTATCCAGGTTTAATATCTCAGAATAGGAGGCCAAGATGCAATAGGCAAAACATGGACAAGCATCCATTCTTAGAAAAGTCAAAGAAGGCCAGAACCTGCAGACCATGGAGAGGCACCCAATCTACTGTTGTATGCCAAAGAACAAAACTCTTTTGAAGGTGCACCCATCTATGCCAAGGCTATGTAGGCCAGACTAGCCTAATTTGCCCAGGTGTGGGGGTACATATTTCCAGACAACTGGGTCATCAACACAGTCTCAAAAGGTCATTGCTGGACTTTCAAATCCTCGTCACGCCAAGACCACTTTGTTGAAATTAATATGCAAAAAAGACAGACCCTACTGCAGTACAATACATAATTGCCAAGGGAGCTATTTTGCCTGTTCCCAATGCAGAAATGCTATACAGGTTTCTATTCTCCACTCTTTATATGCAAGAAGAAAACTGGCCTCTGAACAGTACTAGGCCTCAGGCAACTAAACAGAAACATACAACTAAAAAGTTCAGAATATTTTCTAAATTGTTCGACTGAGAGACTAGATGCTCTTAGTCGACTTATAGGACTAATACATTCATATACCTATCCTCAAAAGGTTTTTAAAAGCTGTCATGCTTCACTATCATGGGGGAGCATTAATACATCTGCCTTCCATTTAGGATATCCACTGCACTCTGTTGTTGCACCAAAGTGTTGCTTCCAGTTGTTGCCGTACTCTGGTTAGACAGACTTTGTTTCAATATTTAGACAATATCTTCCTGATAGCACAAGATTATGAAACATTACTAAAACAGAGAGACCTCCTGATCCAAACCCTTAAAACATTAAAAAATAAATCATCACAAATGTCAACTTCAGTCCACTCAACGCATGGTGTTTCTAGGTGCAACACTCGACACAGTAAATCATTATATTGAACTTCTTCCACTTCAGAATGTTTCCCTCAGCTAGGAACTCTCTCTCTGAGGCCATTCCAATAGCAAATTGAGCCCAATGGAATCTAAGAGCCTTTGAAATCAAATCACTCAACCAGTGGAAAAAGTTCAGCCTACATAAGCCCGTTTGCATAACCCAAGAGATGAAATACCATATCCGACATTCTTGAAATCAGAACAGCTTTTTAAACTCTAAAAGCCTTCATGTATCTCATCTCACTCTTTTTTTCCAAATTCTTTATTTGAATTTTAAGAAATTGTACACAAATACAGTAACAATAAAAAAATGTACCAATAGGCACGTCAGGGAAAAAAAAATAAAAAATCAGCACAACCAAACATCGAAAGGGGATTATTGCAAAGAGTATCAGGATGCCATTAGATAACAAGTATTTAACATTACGAATTGGATGGTTGTTCTAAAAGGTACAAAATAAAAAAAGTGTGTTGAAAGAATAATCCAGGTGGAAGCCAATTTAATGAATAAAAACTACATCTGATTATGATCATCATGGATAGATAATGATAATGGACAGGTCCCTAGGGATTAGAGTACCTAGGTATTTAAGAGCAGTCTGGGCCCAATCAAATGGGAACTTAGTACACAAGCGGGACACCCAAGTCCGGGGCATGGCCACATCAATCGCCTCTGATTTTTGGAAATTTATTTTGAGATTAGAGAACTTACTATAATGCTCAGATATGTCTAATAAGTTTGGAAGAGAGCTATCCGGGTTGGTGAGGGAGAAAAGCAAATCATTGGCATACGCTGATCTCTTGTATTCCTTGCCACCTGACCATATCCCAGATATATCGGGATTGAGTGGGACTGCGCTGAGAAGAGGTACCAAAGACAAAGCAAAAAGGAAGGGCGAGAGAGGGCACCCTTAACGCGTACCATTTGCTGTTCTAATGGGGTTCAAATCTCATCTCACTCTTGACAAAGAAGTAATCATACAAATGGACAATATCAGCAGAGATAATACAAGGAGGCAGTCCAATGCCAAGGGGCAAGCACGGCCATTGCATGCTAAAATTGACCTACTTATGGATTGGGATGAGAAAAATCTGGCAAACCTTTCAACCATTTACATTCCAGGGAAAAACAATCTCTCCAGCTAAGTCAGGAAATGCTGGGAAAAACTAATTAGCTTTGAACTTTGAAAGATAATACCCACCAATTGGGGCAAACCAGAGATCAAATGGTGAAACCCAACAACAACCAGTATGGCAGGTTCTGATTGTCATCGAACCTTACTGGACATGCAGGCATGGTTCACAATGCTCATGGATCTCAGCATGGATCTCTTGTTGCCTCAGCACCCTTTCTAGCTCCCAAGGTGCACTGCTCTTTCTATAACATACCTCAGTGCCCCTTGTGCAGCATCCCTAATATCTTGATATCTCTCTGCGCAATCTCAGCAATCCTTCTCCAGCATCCGTTAGAGCCCTTCTTTTCCAAGTAACTCCACCCTGACTACCCCTGAGCCAGCATCCCTCTATACATTTTTTTTTAATGTTTTTTAAATGTTACTACCCACACTCATTGCTTATGCACCCTCAGCATCCCTGCTCACTCCATTTCACTTCCCAGTGTGATTGCTCCTTCTCCAGCCAGCTGGTAAATTGCTCAGCAATATTTTAAATCGGTAGATGTCAATCAGTTTATGATATTTGAAGTGTATCCAAACAAACATCAGCAGGCTGATGGAAATTACCAAATAATCTAAAAGCTTTCTCTGTCCCTTGCATACCTATTGTGTATATATGAAACAAAATGTAATAATTATCTACACCAATCAACCATAACATTATGACCACTGACAAGTGAAAAACATTGATTATCTGGTTACAGTGGCGTCTGGAGTTGGGTGGGATATATTAGGCAGCAAGTGAACATTTTGTCCCTAGTGTTGGAAGCAGAAAAATATGATTTAAGTATTTGAGCACCTTTGACAAAAGCCAAATTGTTATGGCTAGATGACTGGGTCATCCACATCCACAGTGGTCTGGACCTACCAAAAGTGGTCCAAGGAAGGAAAACAAGTGACAGGTTCATGGGCGGCAAAGGTTTATTGATGCATGTGGAGAGTGAAGTGTAGTGCAATTCAATAAAAGAGCTTCTATAGCACAAATTGCTGAAAAAGTTAATGCTGGATCCAACAGAAAGGTGTCTGAACACATATGGGAGAATTTATAAAAAACAGTTTCTCTCTTCAGTCTGTTCAGTTAGGATTTGAAAATGAAAATGAGAGATGCTGATTGATTGCCATGCACATCTTCTCCAGATGTTGTCTGCTCCAGTTTTCATAAATTACCTTCACAGTGCATTGCAGTTTGTCAAGTGTGGGACTGCATAGCAGCAGGGTGCCCATGCTGACCCGTGTTCCCCGCCAAAAGCACCCAAAATGGGCACATGAGCATCAGAACTAGACTATGGAGTGATGGAAAAAGGTGGCCTGGTGTAATGAATCACATTTTCTTTTACATGATGTGGATGGCCGGGTGTTTGGGCTTCGCCTACCTGGGGGAAAAATGGCACCAGGATGCACTGTGGCAAGAAGGCAAGACAGTGGAGCCAGTGGATGCTTTAGCAATGTTCTGCTGGCAAACCTTGGGTTCTGCTATTCATGTGGATGTTACTTTGTCACGTACTACCTACCTAAACATTTCTGCTGACCAAGTACACCCCTGATGGCAGTGGCCTCTTTCAGCAGGATAACGTGCCCTGCCTTACTGCAAAAATGGTTCAAGAATGGTTTGAGGAACACAATGAGTTTAAGGTGTTGACTTGGCCTCCAAATTGTCCAGATTTCAATACAATCGAGCACCTATGGGATGTGCTGGAAAATTAAGTCCGATCCATGGAGGTCCCACCTTGCAACTTACAGGACTTAAAGGATCCACTACTGATGGTTTTGTGCCAGATACCACAGCACATCTTCAGAGTCCATGCCTCGACAGGTCAGGGTTGTTTTGGTGGCAAGAAGCGACCTACTCAATATTAGGCAGGTGGTCATAATGTTATGGCTGATCAGTGGACATACATACACACCAAATATACACACCAAATATACAGTCACCTTATAACCCAGCCACTAGCTAGAAATTAGGATTTGTCAGTCAAGCTTATGAAAACAAACATTGTTATAGCTTACTAAATGAGTGTTAAAGTAGTTATAAATACATTATATAGTTGATGTATTAATTCAATAAAATGTGTTTTCAGTTGTTTAAGATAAATCTACATTAAAAAATAATTACAAAAAATAGTTAACCCATGTACCCTGTTTAACGACAGTTATACATGGATAGATCTTCATCTAAAGCACAACTAAAGGACATTCTCCTTAGTAATATACCTCTACTTAAGGTTCTGAGTTTTAAATATTAATCTTTATAAATTCTTATCGGTGGTTTCCACAGCTAACATTGTAGAACAATCCCTAATTTTATGTACAGAATATTCAATATATATATGAGCAATTATCTTTATCTTTTTTAAAAGAGTATTTTACATTCCACTTGTGTTGTAATCGATCTTTAACAGGTAGGCTGATTTGTGTTGTAGATATTGCAGGATACAGCTGACACAGTCAAAAAGTCTAGCAGCAGAAGTTATAACACGAGCAAAAAGACAAAGACACAAAAACAAGTGCGTGTATTTAACATGAATTCATCTGTTGTTAAAAGCAATGCATGGCAATTTTTAAAAGAAACATATGAGTGATTATCATTTAAATAACCTGGTATAAGAAAACATTTTAATCGGCCTTACTGTCAGAATGAGGCTCCTCAGCAGCCATGTGCTTGTATTGTCCCAGGATTTCTTATGGTCTGTACCTAACAAGTTGAGTGATGTTATGAAGTGATCTTAGTGTATTACTTCCTGTTTGTACAATAAGCATCTCACTTTGTGTAAGGAAAACTGATGATTTTAACAGCAAATTTACACCACCTACTGGATATGTGTATTATGTCAGTATTACACCTCTCTCCCCCTTCATCTCGACACCCTCACCCACAGAAAGAAGTCAATTGAGATGCATAACCTTAGCACATGCCTGAGTAAGAATATATGATCCTTAGGCATCTATCTCCTTTTTTTTAATGAATTACTGTAACTGAAGGTATTCAGTTAACGTTAAGTGAAAAATAAAAAAAAGAATTGCACACTGACAGACTCTTTATTGCAGAAGAGTCATGCTATGTCTCTTGTGCAATAAAACAACATGTCTGTTTGCAATCTTTTTTAGAATATATGCTGAGCTGTATATCTGTATCTTGGCATACCTCAGTGCTGCCTGGAATAAATGTACTTTTGTGCGCATGCACAGGAATTAAATTGGTCACAAACCAGTGGATTTTCTAATAGTTAATGGGGTCAAATTGACAATCGATTTTGACCTTAGTGATGAG